GGAACTGTGCAGATACTGTACACAGGTAAGCTGAGGTCAAGGGATCGACCCCTGGGATCTGCATTGGCTACTGCCAAAGGTGAAAACTGTTTCAACATGGCACCGAATGGCTCAGGGTTGTGGCATATGAGACTATTCCACACGTTTTTCAGCTGGTGTACCTTTTTGTGGCCTTGAGTTTGACATTCGTTGGAAGTTTGGGCAGAGCATTCAGCATGGCGATGACTTTTGTTGTGTACCCAAACTGACACAGCACAAGGTGCTTTTGTCGTGTACCCAAAACTGAAACAGCGGAAGCTGCTTTCGTTGTGTACCCAAACTGAAACAGCCCAAGCTGTAACCGGCGAGCAATAGCAATAAACGCGAATCTTGCACCGTTGTGCTTGCCCTGTGAAAGCTATGCAGGGGGCGCTCACCGCGTTCTAAGCCCGAAACAAGTTTCACATTGTCAAGCTTCTGTTCTGTTGTTGTTGTTGTTGTTGTTGTTGTCTTTTTTTGAAGTTTTTCCTTTTTTTTTGTTTTTTTTTTGGTATCTGTCAACCTTGTTCTTTCTGTGGCTTGGTCCCAACTTTTTAAATGAGTCATCCTCTTTCGGTGGAACTCATTTGCCGTTGTCGCCAACATCGGAGCCATGCCTCCGTTGGTTCCGACAACTTTTGGGAGGGTGGATGTGAGGGTATAGTTTTGGTGGAGGAAGAGGGGTGCCATCCCATGAGGAGGCCACGCCCGACACGGGGCTGAAACACGTGTGGGGAGCTATGTTAGAGAGAATATGGGGTACGTTTTCCAATCTTTTCATCTTAAGCTCATCGCGAGCTTTGCTGAATCATCTTGTCAGCGAGTGTGACCATGTGTCTTGTGTGCTATGAAGTGCGTGTGATGCATGTGTGCTTTTTCCATTGCCCATGGTCCCACTTAGATGCACCATTGAGTCGAGCTAGCTCAATGGTGTGACACAGTTCCTGTGATATAACCAACAAAATATTTTCCGCTATAAACTTGTGCATAGTAACCGACAAATTTAGGCAAAATGCAAGGTCTACGTCACCAAATTTTCTGACTCCACACGCGAATGCTTTTCAACAGACAAGCATCTACAAATGGACCTTTCACCCTCCACATCCGGACACTATATGTCCATTTTGCGGCCATGGGCGCTATACTGAATGCATGCTCTTTTGTGGTGACCGTTCTTCCTTCATTTTGGCCTGCAATCGACATGCCATTTGTCGGGGGTGTATGGTGGGCATCCTCAATGCCACCCGTCGTGGCAATTGTTGCACTGAGAATGCTCAGCTAGGTCTTCCACGTGTTCATCCACCTCATCCTTACAATGTATGTCCTCTCTGTCATCAAGGACAGACTCATTCTTGAGCCTTTTCTTATCCTCTTTTGCCTTCATCT